GTGCCGTTTGAGTTTTTACTTATACGATTTCATCATATTGTATGAACATCAGATATAATCGTTTAAATAATTAATATTCACAACAATAAATATATCATGAAATGTCACAATCAAATTCTTTATAAATAATGGTGTTATGTATATTTTTGAACATATAATCAACAATGACACAAATTATTTATGTATTGTATACTTATTATAAATAAATAAGTTCATTCCATGATTTTGTTTCTTTATCTGTATATGAAAAACGCAAGTTTATAGATTCAAGCAATAAATCCGTATGAGAGAAAAAGTTATATGTTATTATATACATTAATCGAAACACATTGGACAGATTCGTCAATATATATACTACAATAGAATATAAACAAGGCAAATATTTGATACACACAATTAATGTTAATTGTTAATAATTACGCGTGGATATCAATTGTCTGTACGATGCCAAATCCACCAAATATAAAAGACAATGAAACACAACCGTACCGTTCTAGTTTCCCATGCCAGAAAAGTACCAAATATGAGTAGGAGTCCTTTATAAGCATATAGTGCACCTAACCAGTAGGTAAAATGTTGACAAGCACAGTATTCCAATATTGGCTGTATCTGTTGGTTAGATACGTCTGGGTCATCCTAGACGCAAACAAACAAATTGGATGCTTAGTCCATTTATTCTACACAAACGACGTGTCAGTATTATTCTTCAAATGTACCACGTGCAATTGAATCATGTTTCAATAGTAAACGATACAATATCGGGGTTCTCTTAAATAATGTTGCTAGCTATCAAATTCAGTGAATTATAGTGATTCACATTTAATAAATGCAATGTACCTCCAAATGAAGCATTTCTGTTTCGCGATAAAGTGGGTCCATTATCTGCCATACAGTCAATATGGCCACGTCTATCATTACCAGCACTAATACCATGACATACAGGTGTGCGTCGGTTACGATCTGGAGGAGAAAACGTATAATGTTTTAGACATCATACTTGTGTCGTGGTAATAGTTAATTAACACACATGAAGGTTTGTATCCATACATCGAGAACAAATCTAAAGCGATGTTAGAGAAGTGTCTCAATATTACGACAATTTTTCACCTACCCTACGTTTAGGGGTATTGAGAGCAGCCACTCGGTGTACCCTCCAAGTTTTACTGAACATTGCACCGTAAGCTGTAACAAAACCAATTGAAATAATCCAAGTACGGACCTATACAAAACATAAATAATCAAAACTCTCAATCGTATATTCAATATTTTAGAAAAAATACAAAGTGTAGATAGCATAACGCGAACAATGTTTCAAATAATTCAAATAATCTACTTTTATAATGTTTTGACAATAATAATATTAATTATTTGTTTCCATGTGAAACATCTACATATTTATTTAACAAATTCAGGCCACAAAAAAGAATATAATGTATATATCATATATATCTATGTATTTTAAATACAGGCTTTAATTGGTTTGTTCTATCTTATTTTGCATCATTTTTATTTCAGTTAATGTTAAGGATGTAGTAGACTTTTGTGGTGATTTTTTTTTTTCTTTTATTAACCGATGACTTGTATCTATGGGCAGCCGTGTGATCTTGATTTTTTATTGAATCACGTTCTTATTTCAAGAAAAAACGTTTTTTTTAAAAAATAACAAATAATTTACAAGTAGCGGAAATCCCGGGAATGTGTTCTTCGGCTAAGCCCCTCTGAGCCGAAACAATAAAATTTGTAATTACCATAATCCCGCAAATAAACATCGCGTGTACGCGTCCGGTCAAACGACCGGATGCACTCACTCGTTACTGATAGTTCATCGCATCGCTCTTCTCTACTATATATTACTGTTCATTTATTTTGTATTGACTATGTTTAATTTGAAAAATGGCACGGGAAAAAAATCGTTAAGTCGTAATCGTAAGTTATTGAATACTACGAAACACAGTCCCTCTACGAAACAAAATCGGAAGAGTCGACAGCAGACGAGTGAAAACCCAAGTGACATTTGCTCCACCACACCGGAGCCTGAAGACACCACCATAACCACCTTAAATGCTAACGATGATGACAGCACTGTATACTGTCACTGGAGGCTGAACGACACGAAATCAACACACAGGATGAGCATGTCGAAACGAAAAATATCTCCAGCGAAGTCTGCAGTATCTTGCGGTGAAGCGAATAACACGAGGCCTGGATATATTGATTACGAATCTGACTGACCACTGTAAATGTTATCGGTGTAAAAAGAGAAAATATAAATCCATGAAGAATCTCGTTATGGCTGTTGTCTCACTTTAGTCATCGGTGCACATGCGGCCTTTCGAACAAAAAAATACGAGGTAGTCAAATATAGACTAATCAAGTCCATTGTGTCAAGTGGGACGGCAAACTGACTTTCAAATGAATTTGAGTGACGCGTCAGTGGTTCGTATACAAAACAGTTACACGTACATTTATAGCTCTTGGAAATGAAAACTGTTTGTGCTAGTAATAATTGTATAACAATCGTACTGAAAGTTGACAGAAATAAACTAAACGAAACTCCGATTGCAACGAGTTATAGAGTAAAAACGAAGACCTGTAATTCACGACAGTGCTGTCGTATAACTTGCTCCCAAGCGGATTCAGTCAGCAAATAGTTTTCACGTTGCTTTTTTCAAATTATCGACTTTTCCATAACTTTATCGGCCATGTACCAAACGGGTTGTATTGATTTTTATAAAACCAACACAATAGCTATCTTAAACATCAAAAAATAATTAGAAAAGTAACATGTCTAAAACCACAAAAATTACGATTACGCGAACAGTTCTTGACAGATTTCATCGATTTTTTGAGAGATTGAACTCAATATCAATTGAAAACACAATGTAAAATAATTTTTCAAGTATCAGTAATATTTCATGACTGTGAAAACAAAGCACTCTAATTTATTACAGAATTCTTTTCCACCACGTTGTAAAAGTACCAAACAATTCAGAAACTACCTATTTTACATTATTTTTGATAACATTGTAGTCTACTACATCCTTACTTCATATAAAGAGAGGAGCTAGCTACTGTATATAATATATTCTCTATAGAGGTCAACACGTTAAGCCAAAATCAAAATCAAATTGAGTGACTACCTGATTCATCCGTGAGAATTATTATATCCAGAATATGTCAAAAAGAAAAGACAATAACTAGCATAAAATAGTCAACAGAAAACCAAAATACAATAACTCTCACCTGGCATACAGCCTGAAGGTACTTCTCACCCATACTGCTGTTGTCCAAACCGAATAAGAAAATCGCCGCATAAACTAAAATACTTCCAAGAATAATGATGTTATTCAAATTCGGACTTGACATCTTGACATATCTGAAACAACAATGTGCGCAATCAGTGTAGTTAACTAGTTAGTGCATTGTGTTAATGAAAAAATATATCGGCATATGCATATAAACTATAAATGCACACTGCATGATTGGAATTATCTTTGTGATTATTACACATAGATGTAATGTAGGTCCCTTACTTCTGTTCTCTGTACTTAACGTTGAATCCCAAAAAGAATAAAGCCATTAGAATTCCCACAACAGCCAAACTACACAGAATATAATAGACCTCGGGTAAAATACACAGATAGCGATCCACTGTGGTTATAATAATCTGTGGCGTATGGTCCAATGGAATTTGTCCTCCTGAAAATAAAATGAATAAAGTTTTTTTCTGTAATTCATAATGTGTTGATATCTTTAAAAAAACATATCGGTTCACAATGAAAAAGTAAGTTAATCATTAGGACAATAATAATCTCACCTTGCCATTCAAACTCAGAGGTATACTCCAGTATGCCATCCTTTTCTTTATATAGAGCAATTTGTTTTTCCATGTATTCTACAACGACAAAAACTTACAAAGTGTTAGTGAATTCAGTAGGCAGTTATTAAAGCATTTTATTACACAATGATGCATTTTGTTACTATACAATTCACAAGAGATGCTTTAACTTTACGTGATTGTTAAATGTAATGATTAAAGCTCTGTGTGAATAAGCTTTATTAATAATATTATTTTCATCTTTTTTTTAACATGTTCGTTATCATAGATAGAGGGAAAAGTATATGCAGAATGTCTGTATCCACCTTTTCAATTGTCATTTTATCCAAAGTTGTAATAGTTACGCTATTTTTTCATTATGCGAACAAAATGTCAAAAGACAAACTCATTGTAAAATATCAGACCCTGAATAAGAGGGTCTTGGAGATGGTTATGCACACGACGACGGTTCCATTTCCTAGAATTGTGTTTTACCTGAGAAAGATGCTTAATTTGCAACTGGAAATATTAGACACATAAAGTCTTTGTTGACTTTATTTCAACAAACAGCTTACCTTCATTTGATTTACATATGAAACTGTTTATTTGGTGACAGCTCGTTGGGTCCAATACGTTGGTGTTTTTATTAATGGTAACACAGGTTTGGTTCGAATCAACCATATTAGGTAGTTGGTTGATGAGGGACATATTACACACTTCTCCATTGAGCCAAACATAATTGACACCGTCGAAGGTAAGACCAATGAACCTAATAATGAAACAAATTGCAAAATTAGCTATGATATATGTTTAGAGAATGCAGAATGTGGATTTTCCATGTAACTATGACATGACCATTCCGGCTTAGCAGCATTAATAACACCATGGTGCTGCCTTAATATTTGAAAGAACAAAGACAACATTCTGTGTTTGGTAATGTAAGCAGAGCGTATATTCATTTAAACGATAGACCAGTGGTATGGGAACAAGGTATTTCCACTTGTAGGTGTATTGCAACCGATAACTGCGTGCTGTTACAATTTTAAGGGGAGCAGTCATACTTACCACTTACTTCGTTCTTCAGTTTTAAGTTTAGAACGAATATGTTGCATCTCATGTAAAGATGTTATAACCACCAAATCGCCGCCATCACGTTGGCACAAGTCGCGAGCGTCGTGCCACGTCATTCCGGAAGTATGTAGAAGGTAGCAATGAGAGTTCCACTTTGAATAGTTGTCTTTGCAGCTGGCTAAGAACATAATTAAATCGGGGTTCACAAATGGATATTGTTAGTCTAATAACCAAAATACTTTCTCTATTGTGTTACTTATTTAGCACACTATTGCCTGCACCACAGATACTTCAGAATTTCTTCCGTTTTGAGACAGCCGTGGATACCCCTTTTCAAAGTCTTGTAAACGTCTTGTATTTCATGAATGTATTAATTTAGGGTTATAAATTGATTATCTTTTTATGATTTTTACTTTTTTTTTTAATTTTGACTAAAGGTCATAGACAGATATTGTAGGCTGAATTATGTCCATAATTACCACTTATTGAAATGTACATATTATATACACGTTTCGTAAAAATGTGCACACTAAATATCAGATAAACATCATACAAAGTTATAATGAAATGTGTAGGTAGTACATACAGCTTGCATGAGATTGCGCGATCGAATTACTATATTACTATACTGTTGCTGAGATTTCTCCTTAAACAACGCAAAGATTGCGAATTTGTTGGGAGAGAGCTCCATTCAACTAGCACTCTGCTGTCATTTAAGAAGAGGAGGAATGCTGATAAAAATGGATATCAATTATATTTTGCGTAACGTTATAAAACAACCCCGATTACTAAAATATGTACCGGGTATGTAATGCGATCAATTTAACATGATGCAATAATGTGTTATAATCGATTACCCGGTATTTGGTAATTGTACGCGCAGCACTGTATTGAATCGCTTCAAGTTGTCGCATCTAGCAAATCATATCCGGGTCCCACACTCTGGATGCATTGCAATGATCTTGCCATTACAACATATAATTCATATTAACACCCTTGTTTAACAT